GCAGAACCCATGGATTTGGGTATCCTGCCCCGGAGTAAAACTGAGCCATCGAGGAATTTCGATGTCAGTTTTGAGTAAACTGTTGCCATTTTACCATTGAAGTGGGTTTTGCGCATTTATCCCAATCAATGCCATCGAGCCAAAGTTCTTGATGTAGAATCTTTGCTCGTATCATAACTGGCGATAGCCATCCTGCCGGGTCAAAAAGTTTTGCAACCGACGAAAAATATGCCGTTTTGTTGTAGCTTTAGTTGCTGAATTTGGCAGGATGGTGTATGCGAACCTGTCTGTTAATGCGTTAGATCGGATACCGAGAGTTTTGGTGGTGGAAGCATCTTCGAATTTCAAGAAATTGGAGTCGACAAGGTCTTCTCTCGGGAATTTTTCAAATATGGACGGATTGTAAGCCGTTAATTTTTTGAGAATAAAGCCAGCTGACTTTAGCGCTTTGATCACTTGAAAGAGTGAGTCGGTGGCATTGTCAATATTGTTGCGAAAATGCGAGGCGAATGTCAGATGAAAGAGAGAAGCCGATAATTAGTACGTTCTAGAAACGATAAAACAAGAACCTTCCATAGCGAACAATTCGATGCTTCTACGCTTTCGTCTGCGAGCAGCCGACTGCTATATAAAGGCGACACTCAGCTGCAAGTCAAGTTAGTGATAAAGCGAACTCGTTGCTGTTAACATCAGTAAAGTCGTAAAGTAAACGCGTTGAAGATTACATTTAAGTAGAGTAAATTGTGAAGGTTGATGTTAGTGATTATAAATAGTAAAGTGTAGTATAATTGAATTGTGAATTACTGAGAAAATAAAGGACATTAGATTAATTCTTTATAACGCAAGAAACTGCAAATTGAATTGGCGAGTTTTTATTTAACAATCCAGAGATCGTACCCGAAGGTTTTAGAAAATAATCGAGGTTGATTTAGTAAAATCGTAACAATCGGTGTCAGAAGTGGGATTGTTAAATAAATCCCAAAGGATAATAGTTGCAAAATGGTTAAGATACAGGATTTAACGATACCTCTTCTCAAGAGGGAGTTGGCAAAGCGAGGATTGTCGACAACGGGAAATAAGGCAGAGCTGGTATCGAGACTGCGTGAAGCAATGGAATTTGAAGGCATCGACTTGAACCAGTACGAGTTCCATCGCGAGGATGAAGATGTATCCTTGAAGGACATTGACAAGGAAGAGGCTGATGGTTCTGTGAAGGAGTTGGAATCACCATCAAGTAAGATTCAAGAAAAGGCTCCTGGGTCACCTAAGGGTATTGACATGAACATTCTATTGACTGCGATTTCACAAAAGTTGGATGCACAGGAAGCCAGCATTTCACAAAAGTTCGATGCGCAGAATGCCAACATTACATCACAAATGGTTGAGCAGAGGGAGCAGATGTCATCCTTGGAAGGAACAATTGCGCAAATACAACAAAATCTGGTGAAGAACAATGCGGAACTTAAGGAAAGGCAAGATCTAATTGAGATCGAAGTCAACGCATTGAAAACTCGTGTCCGGGAGTTGCAGCTAAATCGTCCAACCGCTTCAGTGAACGCTCCGAAAGTAAAAAACACCATCTTTTGACGGGAAAATGCCATTTCAAGTCTTAACGTCAATATTATTATTTTTTTTATCAATGCTGTTTCTCAGCTGGGGGTGTAATGGGGTGTAGTCAAGCTTCTGCGTCCACGTCGCGGAATCTGGAAACGTAAGCAACCTTTGTGCAAGATGCGGTAACAAACCCATGTGGATCCTCGGGTCACGGCTAACGAGAGAGGAAGCTACAGGGGGGCCACTCCGGTTTACGGGTCTGCTGAAGTCTAATTGCAGCGTCTGTTCACCAGACGTGCGACTGCGAGCGGGCGTCGGTCTTGAAGCAAAGGGTTCGCTATGTAAATGTGTAAAAAAACTATAATATAAAGGAGCGCAAATGTGGTGTTGGATTTGTGGTGGGAGAGAGACTCCGTTTTCGAAAAGTGGCATTCACCCCGGTGGATGAGCGTCTCGCCACAATTTGCATCAAAGCGAAATTTTTCAACATATCGCTGATTTGCGCCCGAGCCCAGACGGAAGAGAAGGACGATTTATGAGCGCCTAGAGCATACTTACGAGCGGTGCCCCCGACACAACGTGAAAATCGTGCTTGGCGTTTTTAATGCCAGGGTGGGCAAAGAAGGTATCTTTGGTACAACTGTTGGACAATTCAGCCTTCACAACGAAACATCCCCTTATGGGTTGAGGCTGATCGACTTCGCCGGGGCCCGAAATATGGTTTTCTGTAGTAGTAGATTCCTGCACAAAAAAATTAACCAAGCTACTTGGCTGTCCCCTGATCGAAAAACACAAAACCAGATCGATCATGTTGTGATAGACGGAAGACATGTCTCCAGTGTTCTTGACGTGCGTACACTCCGAGGACCCAACATCGACTCGGACCATTATCTTGATACGTATGCGCCTCTGTGTATCGAAGAACGCCTGCGAAAAAAACACCATGAAAGTTCGACGTTGAAAAGCTGCAAGCAAAACAGACTGCCGAACGATTTTTTATTCGACTTGCACTCCTGCTCTCTGAGAGCACACATCAGCAACTCGGTATACGGGAATTAAGGGACAGTATTTCAAGCTCCTTACGTACGAGACGAAACTTTTGTATTTTGTAAATGTCGCAGAAACAGCTGGTACGATGAGGACTGCGATTTCGCAGTGGAGAGAAAACAGACTGCCTACCTCACAACGTTGCGATCGACCGCAACCGGTACGGAATGGTATAGCTATCGAGAGACGAAGTCAGAATTGATAAGGCCTCTCCGAGCCGTTCGATACCAACCGTGTGATTTGTTCAACTTGATTCTGGAGAAAATAATACGAGCTACAGAGCTGAATAGAGCAGGTGCAATCTTCTATAAGAGTGTACAACTACTGCAGTATGCCGATGATATTAACATTATCGGTTTCAATAACCGCGCCGTTAGTTCTGCTTTCTCCAGGCTTTACAAAGAAGTGAGGCGAAGCAGGGTCTGGTAGTGAACGAGGATAAGACGAAATATCTCCTGTCATCAAACAAACAGCCATAACTTTGAAGTCGTAGATATTTTCGTCTACCTAGGAACCAACATCAACACCAACAATAATGTCAGCTGTGAAATCAAACGCAGCATCACTCTTGCCAACGGGTGCTACTTTGGACTGAGCAGGCAATTGAAAAGTAAAGTCCTCTCTCGGCGAACGAAAACCAAACTCTACCAAATCCCTCATCGTTCTCGTCCTGCTATATGGTGCGGAAGCTGATGAGTTAGGAGTTTTCGAGAGAAATGTTTTACGTAAGAATTATGGTCCTTTGCAAATTGGCAAAGGCGAATATCGCAGACGATGGAACGATGAACTGTACGAGTTATACGGCGACATTGATATAGAATCAGCGGCTAAGCTGGCTAGGTCATGTGGTCCGGATGGATGCGAATACTCGAGCTTTGAAAGTTTTCGATGCAGTACACGCCGGTGGATGCAGAGGAGGAAGAAGACCTCCACTCTGTTGGAAAGACCAGGTAGAGAAGGACTTGGCTGTACTTGGTATTTCGAATTGGCGCCAAACAGCAAAAAGAAGAAACGAATGGCACAATGTTGTTAAATCGGCCAAAATCGCGTAAGCGGTGCCTGCGCCAGTAAAGTAAGTAAGTGAGTTGCTCAGCTGTGTTCGGTTTGTCAGACAAGAATGACAAAAATGCACGAGGAAACAAAGACGTAATGGCGTACACATATACAGATGTAAACATCACATTTGTCATTTCGGCCTTAAGAAAGTGATGTGAAAATCGTTCAACGAGCTGACGGGATATGACATCATGCGTTCCTGGCTCAAATGATCGGAAGCCTTCTCGCAGGTAATTCATTGCGTATGAATTTACGTAAACCTTGTATGCGATCGGTTGAGAATCAATTGGAATTTACAAAAAGGTGAACGAAGAAAGCCTAAGCTAAATTTCGAATCTTAGGACGTCAAAAAGTAACATTCACGGCACAACTACCTTCAAATACAAAGGTCAACTGGCAAACGATTGGTTTGATGTCTGTAATTCTTCAATTTATACTTTTTGCTATTTAGGAAAGTTAATTTGGTTTCGTTTAAAACCATCTTTTAGTTTTTTACAAAATTCTTAAATATAAAGGAGCCATTCGGTACTGCTCTTTCGGCACAACTCGACGTTTTGAGTAGGATGAACGAATTTATGAGTTCGCCAATAATTTCAAAAAAGAAAGGGTTGGAGTTCTTCAAGAATTCAAACGTGGAATACGTTTCAACTGGGCGGCTAAATCAGGATGTATTGTATTAGAGCATTTTTTTGGTGCCATTCGGAGGAAAGGTAGAAGAATTTAGGTATTGGCTGCAAAAATATATCCTAGCTCGTTTGATTAAGATAATTCGTGTAATTCGTACTTTGCTGAGGATGATCTTGTCATCGATGTCGCGGAAAGAGAAAGAATCAATGCAGAAATCATTGAGGCGTTAAATACCGATTGCTCCGACGACTGCGATATTCAAAAGGGAGACGAGTGAAGTCATCTTTTGACTTTTCGTAAATAATTTTACACAAACAAAATACACAGGATTTTTGTTTTCGTATTCTTGCTACTACCGTATGTGAATTCGCTTTTAGCTCGAGCATTTCAAATACTTTTGACAAACAAAATTAAAATTGCAAAAATTTCTAACAAACATTTAAGGAATTGAACATCGAACGAGTATCGAGCTGCCCTCATTGCTCAATAACCGGGTATCTAAAGCGCAACTTTGTAGTCTCTACCATAGTGTAAGTGCTTTTAGGTCATCATTAATTTATTAGGCTGTTATCGCTGGCTTGCTCTATCTTTAAAGGGTTAAGTCATACCAATTCCGATCACAAATCAAACTTGGCCAGAGCGAGTACCGTCTGAATCCTACGTGGTGATGTCTGAGAAGATGAAATATAAAATATTGGAATTAAATAAAAATCATATTTCTTATGTGTTTAACCATAGTTTGAACAATTTTATTCGTTATTTTAAGGAAATTCTTTACATAACTACATTCGACCATTTGTATTAAAATAATTTGATAAATCTTTCGAATTCAACAATAACATTTTTATCATGTGACTTTCACAGTGGTTTTTCAACTCAGCAACTTTAAGGAAAAACAAATTTTGTTATCTTATCGCGCATACAAATCAAGAGCGCATACGAAGCGTCACAATTGTTCTTAATTCCATTGGGAGAATCTTTGCAGGCTGCGAAACCGCTTTTGTACTGATCCTTGTAGTCATCCGGCATTAGCAAATCTACTTGCTTCAGCGAACTTTCATATAGAAACTTGCCCTTCTTCATCTATTGCAAAATGAAAAAAAGGTTTGGCATTTGAGTTTCGCCTATAAAAGGTGTTTAATGAAATTTTCAATAGTACCGTTTGCATCATTTCCAAAATACAATTAATATAGCATTTTACTTCCTTTGTTTCCGGAACGATACCATCCTTAATGCCATCAGCTACATCTGAAATGTGATAAAAGTAAACAAAAATATAAATATAAATTAATTCTTATGGATTTTAACCAAGAAAAATATATGGTCTTAATTACAGACAATTTTTTTAAATTCCGTGTGAAAATATCTAATACCGCATACATAAACAGAAAATCATTCAGAATAGAGACCAAATATAACTGCTATTTTTTCGTGATCAAGAATTGTCCTTAGTTTAAGGAATACTTTTTACGCTTCTTCATAAGAGTTATTTTGAAGAAATTTTTTTTTTCGGTTGCCCATAACGTTTATTTTAGATTTTAATTTGTTTACGTTGCTTGTAAGATGTATAAGTGAAAGGAATTTTTTACCGTTCTTTACCTACGTTTTATTTTAACCCATTTGTTAAAGGAAGACTTTCAAAGAGGGATATAACATAGTAATAATCCCCTACAACACTGTACATCGGTTCCAAGATATTGGAAACGCGTTGCATTTTCGTAGGAACACACAATTTAATAAATTTATTTAATTTTATTAAAACGCAGTTGACACAATCTGCAAAGGGACATGAAATTAATTATGAACTGTACCGCATTGAGCAAAGTAAAAACATAAAAATATAAAATAATCCTAACTTAAAAGTGAAAAAAATTATTTTTACCATATAACAGTTACTGCCCAATTTTTTCACATATTTTTATAACAGTTAAAACTCTGATTAGGAACAAAAAGTTTATTTTCACAAAAATTTTAAGACTCTTTGTCAAATAACTATTGATTATTATCGAACTTATAAAATTCTAGTGTCACAGTGTTAGTTACAATTTATACGTGTCGTACTAATATCGAAAAAGTTATAGAAAATTAATTTAAATAAAAAAATTGTACTTAATTTTCTAAATGCGGTCGCCCCCTACGAATGCATTTCTGACATAAAATAAAGCCCCACATAAAAACTATCCACCAGCCGTTCAGAGGAGGCTTAGTATAAACTGTAGGTCCGTCCATTTATTGGAAAAACATCACGACGCAAAACCACAGCGATCACAAAGCGCTGATTATACATATTTATATATATAATATATATTCTTTTTTTATTATAAATGCATACAAAGATAATATGTATACTCGTATGTTGAAACCATTGCATACATACCTGTTGGTACTTTAAATTTAGGTAGGCAAACATCTCGCATTAGTTTTCCAGCTGCAATCATTTGCTCTTCCGTAGCCTTAAAATACAGATGTTCATTTACAAGTTAATTCAGTTATGCTACCATGCATGCATGTATACATATGTGTAAAATAAAAATAAAAAAAATTACTGAGTTTTGACCGAACAGGATTCAGTGTAACAGCTTTATATTTTGGCGGTTAAATTTGATTCCCTTAATTTATTTTATTTGTTTTTCAGTATTTCAATGAAATTGGCAATTTTATGGAATTTTTAGTTTATTAATTGTGTTCAAGATTTTTTGTGTTTCAGAATATATGGATACAGGCTTTAAGTCCGCTCAACGATAAAGATACCAATGTGTTCAAATAGTCCTGTAAAGGAAGGATAACTGAAATACGAAAATTAGCTTGTTATTCTTTTTCCGCGCAAGACTGAGATATTAACTAAACATTATTATAGAGTTTATTCGATTCTGTTTACATAAAAACCAATCAAGAGCCTTTGTTTGTTTGGGTTTGTTGGCAAAAATTCAATCGAATGATCACAAATCAGCTGTTTTCAATACCTGCTAGTTTATACTGGCTGAAAATTTTCCAACACGAATTTGCAACTTTTTCTCCAAACCAAGCGTTAAAATTGCGCTCTCTCGTTACTAATTGTACTGGCTTTTTGGCTCAAAGAAAACGGTTCAGTGGAATTCAGTAAAAAATGTTCTGTCCCTCTACTCACCGAACAGAACTAACATTACTCATTATATGTAAGTCTGATCCTATCGTCATTTAAAAGGATAAGAGTTTTGAAATTGCGCTTAAGTGGTTAGAAGTTAAAATATTACGAGTGCCCTTGAAAAAGTTATCAGCAAATATTTTTGGTATCAAATATTAATATATATATATTATAATAATGTAATAATTACTATTATTTTTTCAATATTAACTGTGCTTTTGAAATTTCCTACGCTTTTTTGAAGAATAACTCAAATTTACTTCATCCAGCATTTGCAATTTTTTATTTCGTAAAATATTTTATATTTTTCGTGTGCCTTTCTTTCTGTTTAGGGAACCACTCCCCTGTGGTCCAATATCGATAGGATGGCCTTAACGTCGCTGTGCTTTGTACCAAAATCTATTATACAAAAGTGCAAAGTGATTCCTTCATAATCTGTCAAGTCTGGTCTAAAAGCACCAACACCATTTCTTATAACTATGTATATTCAATTTTTATTAATTTCTCTCTACTCTCTTCAATGTCAATGATTTTGTTTTGTTAACTACATATAGAATTCGTCCGAAAATATAATAATAATAAATATGATTTTCCCTTTAGTTAAGTTTTTCTAAATGCAACATAAAGTTCTTTGTCCGGAAGTTTTGAAAACCTTTTTTAACGTAAGTTTTATTGTAGATGAAAACACTTTCACATAAAAGACAAGCGACCACCCTAGTATTTGGAGATTCTTCTGAACGTAGTGCTTCGCTGAATAGAAACTGATGAAGGTTCATTCATATTACAAAAAAACAGATGGAGTAAGAAAAAAATATAGGAACACTTGGATTAGAGTTAATGCTTCAAATTTTTTTTAATCTCTCTAGCATTACGAAACACATAACAGATTATGGCAACAGTAAATCTCTCATTTCGAATGGTCCTTTTAAAGGGTCGACCTAAGCTTAATTGAGAACGTATTATATGATATAAAAGTTAAAGTTGGTGAACAAATCGGGATTGACTTTGGCAGCGGCTCCAGTTTCAAAAATATTTAACGTAAATTATTTAAAACCTTTGAGGCTTGTCATATTCAGACTGTTTTTGCATGAACAATTCAAGGCACTGTTAAATTCAATAACACCTCTAGAGATTGTGATTTATAACGTTTTTATTCATTTATTGTCTTTTTAAAAATGTTCATGCAAAGTTGTTATAAAAACTTGTCAAGATACTTTTAACACTCACACCGCCATAAACTCGATCAGTGTTTAAGGTTAAAACGATGAGAACTGCTGGAAGGACGAACAAATTCATTCTAGGCAACATAATTGGTAAATTATTAACCGCGCGTTTTTCTTGTTATAAATAATTGATTTCGACGTATTCGCGATTTGCTCGGTTAAATGTTGTAAAATATATCGACTGATTCTTTAAATAACGGAAACTTTCTTTTATATCTAAACTTGATATATGAAACTCGAATAAATGCACATATATACTCGTATATACATATATGCATGCAGCAGTTGAATAATGCAATAGTGGAAGTCATTTCCTCTAAAATGTTTGTCTAATAATAGGTTCACAGTAATTGTAAAAATCTAGAACTTAACTGAGGATACTAGGTGCATGAAAGTCACGCCATGGATCGTGAGTTTAAAGCACTGTAGGCACGAATTCAACGCAGAATTTTTAAACTTTATTTTTAAATTTTATTCCGCTTTTCAAATGGCCAATAGCAGTATATGAAATGAAAAATCCATTTACAAATTAATTGGTCAAACAGAAGAATCTCTAATCGTCAGAATAAGATCGGCCAAACTCTTTCATATGGCATTTGTTGCGTTATGAACATAGAAAATTTGTTGAAAAGTGCAATAAACGGATTACAAACGTTTAATTAGTTGCAAAGATGTGCATGTTTGAATGTTAAAAGTAATGTATTTTTTCAAAACTTTTCCTAAAATAATTCCCATTTTGCCCATGTAGTTAAATAACACCAACAAATAATTAGTTGGGACAATGAGAACATGTATATGCAACATATATTTAGTATGTAGATACATACAAATGTACATCATGGAGTTATACATAAGTACTACTATTCATAAATGTTGGAAACTAAAATTTACATACCTGTATACAGCCCTGTTCTGTCGAGGTAACAAAATTTACATTGGTATTTAAATTTACCATTCAGTAAATTTTGTTACTATTTCGTATTCTGAGTTCACTGTCACCCTGTAAATTTTGTTACTAGCGATAACATAAAATCTGTTGTTTGATTTTATGTTTTTAGTTTGAGAAAAAATAAAAACCAAAATGGGTAGGCATTATTTAGATCTGAAGATGAAGAGAAAAGTGTAAAAAGGCGTATGCTAAGAAGTTTCGAGAAAAAGTGACTCTTTTAATTCAGAAGATAGCTTTTTCATTCAGCCTTTTCTCTTTATCGTTTAGGCATATTTTCCCAAAAAGTACCAAGTTCAATTTCGGGTGTTGAAAAAAAGTAAAAAAATTTACTTTACCGGTAAAAATCAGTTGGAAATTTACTGGCTTCATATTAAGGACAATTTAGAGGTCATTAAATCTTAAATAAAGGTATTTGCTTAGAATCCCTTTGCCACTGACTATCATTTCGAGGACGAAATAATTTTTTTCTACTAAAAACTTCAAAAGCAGAAATTGTTTTTGTGTTTAAAAAGTGCATGTAAAAGGGAAAAAAAACAAAAAAGCCATTGCTGTCTACTTAGCACCTACTGTATATATACAAAAATATATAAAGTAGTAATCTTATAATCGCTGAAGGGATTTTCCGATGAGTTTCTCCTCCAATTTGTTTTGTGCATGGCGATTTTTCCAACAAATAGACAGATCTATAGTTTTCTCTAAGCATTAAACTTTTTTTAAATATATAACTCACAAACAACGCAATCAAATTTGAAAGAAACTCGGGATTACTGTGTTGGAACTTGATCCAATGTTTCGATAAAATTTATTTTTATTTTTCTATTTCAACTGAAAAGTACAGTGCTCTGTCGACGAACAAAAACCAAGCTCTACAAGTCAGTCATCATTCCCGCCATGCTGAATGCTTGCTATAGAAACGTGGACGATGACGACACTTGATGAGTTGGAGTTTTCAAATTTTTACGCGTTGGAAGCGGCGAATATCATGGACGATGGTATAATGAGATATATGTCACGTTCGTAAAGTTTTCAACGACACAGTATTTGCCGGTGGAAACAGAGGAAAAGATCAAATGCATAAGGAACGTCCCGGCTTCCCTTGGAGTATCCAATTCTGGCCGAACGGCAAAGAGGAGAAGCGGATGGGGCGCCGTTGTTAAGTCATTCATAGTCGCTCCAATAAAGATGAAGAAGAAGAAAATTACTTCGTTTTGTTACTCATCATTGACAAACATATTTTTTCGCTTAAGTTCAAATCTGGGTCAATAACAACATAATTATTTTGTCATTTTCAAATATGAACTATACACGTGACAGTAAATGTAGGCATACATACATACATATGTACGTTTGTAAACATCTTGTACTTGCCAATGGCATTTCGTATTTCGCTTTAGAATTTATTAAATTTGTGAATCAAACTTGTGCCTTAAAGCAAAAAATAATGTGAATTGTTCTTGAGAACAATTACTTATTTCATTCTCCTATTTTTCCTTACAAAAAATTTAGAATTCGTTGTTTCTTTTTATAATTTTTTCTTTATTCTTCAGATCTCTGACCTAATAATAAGCATTTTAATTACTTTTTTTACTTTATTTTGTGTTATTTCCATTTATTTTCTAATCTTTTTTTGAATATTATACATAGAAGTCAACACATCCACCTACAAATAAGTAATTCTTCTTCGTCCGTTATTTGTTTTTTGTGGTTCTTGTAATTTGTGTCGTTACTCGTGCGAGAAATTGCCAAAAATTTATTGTATATATTCGAATAAATGATGTGGATTTTCTTCAGTTTAATTTCTACTCCATTGGTGTTGTGTGCTTTGAAATTGAAATGAAATACTTTAAAGTTCTTTTAACATCGTGCATAATGGTGCTTTTCTTCATAGCTCCAACTTTTGCAGGCGTAAGTTGTTATATGTGAATAGTGAAAATAATAATGTTGGAAACACCAATGAAGTCAGATTTTTCCAACAAAGTGACGGTTTCACTGATTATCTGTTTTATTGAAAACTTCCTGATTAGCTCCGTAGATCCTTTTCGAGCAATCGACGGCTTTAAAAAATGGATTATACCATGCCTTCAGGAAGATCTTTCTTTCACGAATCAGTGAGCAAGACCTCTCTCCTAAAATAAATCCACAACCAAACTGGTGTTATTGTATATTAAAAGGTAATCACAAGCAATAAATTTTCGATAATGCTTGATCAATTTTGATACCAAGTCCGAGTCTTCTCCCCTCCATCTCTACTAAATTAAGTGATCAGAAAAATGATAAGATGGATATTTACGAAAAATGGTCTTGACTACTTTTAACAAGAAGAAATAATTAAGGAATAGTTAATGTTAAAGTTAGCTGGAGTTGACTACACTGCAAAACATACATATTGGGGTTCGAGACTAATTAATCGAAAAGGTCGGCAGTTATATAAAACGATCATCCGTACCAAAAATAGATACGATGCTATTTCACCAAGACAACCAACTTACTGGCCTACCGACGAAAAGAAATTACCTGACACTTTAATCTTTTAACGTCTTTGTCTCTCAACACAAAGCTATTTTTGAAAAGCTAGCAAAAATCTTAAGCCACCTGTAAGCAATGAAGCACCGCTGAAACTATTTAACGGTTCTTGGGCCAGAATGGATGAAAAAAGGCGACTTGTTTTGCAGAGCATCTCAGTTTGGTATTTCGATCTAAAACTGCTACCAGTTATGCACCTTTGTCACCTAACAACGCTGCTCCAAGATACACTGTTTCTTGCGGAACAATCGTGCTTGAACTAATAACTATTATTACCACCTTAAATCCAAAAAAAATCCAAGGAGACGATCACATCTCACCAAAAATGCTGAAAGAATTGCCAAGCAATGCTCTCGTTTGTCTTGCAAAGCCACATTAAAGCTGGGATATTATCCACAAATCCACAGATAATTATGATAGCTAAACCAGGTAAAGACGCAACCCTGCCGTCATCACATACACCAGTCAGCCTGTTGTCTTGCCTATCCAAACTTTTCGAAAAAGTGCTGCTATCAAAAATTACTTCTTTTCCTCCATCAAAATGATATTAGTCCTACTAATCAATTTTGTTTTCGAGAAAAACACGGCACAGTTGAACAAGTAAATCGCATAATAAAGGAAATAAGGAAAGCTTTCGAATTCAGAGAGTATTGCTCGGCCGTTTTCCTTGGTGTGGCGCAAGCATTTGACGAAGTGTGGCATGATGGTCTCATTCATAAAATCAAAATATCATCACTCAACACGTTCCACTATCATGGAATCCTATTTAACCGTCAGGCGATTCACTGTGAAAGTAAATGAATATATAACAGAAGAGTATCAAATCACGGCAGGTGTTGCGCAGGGTAGTGTTCTTGGACCAATATTGTATACTTTGTTCGCCGCAGACATTCCTACAAGTGGTAAAGACGGCATAAATGCCCCATTATGGAGCAGCTGCTTAAACTAATGGAAGAATGACTAGCAAAATGGCGCATAAAAGTTAAAGGAAAATAAGTGAAAACACAGCACTTTTACATTAAGGCCAAAAATGTGCCCTATCGCCAAGTTCAACAATCACAAGTTCACATACCTTGTTATTCACTTGGATAGGCGATTAACTTGGAAGCCACACATTTCCGCCAAAAAGATGCAGTTGAAGGTTATGAGGCCGAGAATAATAACACGCGCATGATAAATGCGTAATGAAAACGTCCATAGAGACCTAACTAAACACTTATTCTGAGGCTTCTAATATCGAAGTAGATTCATTAAACAAATAAAAATGTTAAAAAAAAAAAATTTCTAGAATAATTAAGTAAAATTAATACATTTTTTATATTACGGTTTGTGTTTTCCATAAGAGGAAAAATAAAATTACAAATTTAATAATAGTTGTTCGCAATCTTCCGAAGGGCGCTATAGTAATTTTTTTATTTTATTTTTCACCTTTCGAAATTTCTAGGTCACTGAGGAGCAGATGTGGGCGACAGCTAAATTAATGCGAGATGTCTGTCTACCGAGATTTCCAAAAATTGCCACTGGTAAGAAAGCATTATTCTAAAAAACTTTCCGAAGAAATATATAAAAATATGCGGCCGCGGTAGCCGAGTGGTTAGTATTATGTACTGCCATTCGGAAGGCTCGGGTTCAAATCTTGGTGTCGTACCAACGTCCAAAAAGTTAGAGAAAATTCAATTAAAGAAAAAATTAAATATTCTAATTGCCATCGTCCTTCAGCAGGGAATGTCCTTCAGCAGGGAATGTCAACCCCTCTGAATGTATTTCTGACACAAAGTAAAGCTCCTCATTAAAAAAACATCAGCTGTTCAGAGGCGGCTTAGAATAAACTGTAGGACCCTCCATTTGTTGGAAAAAAATATCAAGACGGCAAACCACAAAATGGAGGAGGAGCTCGGCCGAAAATCGTTTCAGCGGTTACAAATATATATATATTTATATATGTATATATGTTTACATATATGGATATGTATATGCAAAAAAACTAAAATAAAAAAAGTAAAATGTAATGAAACAAAATAAAATAAAACTAATTAAACTAAATTAGATTAAATTAAACTAAATTAAATCAAATTTAATGAAAATAATTAAACTAAAATAGATTTGAAAATGAAATAAAATGTAATAAAATAAAAAAGAAAAATTAATTGAAAAAAAAAATAAAATAATGGAATGTTAAAAAATATTAAAACAATTTAAAAAAAAATTAAATGAATTGGAATACAAGAAATAAAATTAAATATATAAAAAAAAAAAAACAAAAAATAAAAATAAAAAAATAACAAAAAATAAAATTGAATGAAAATAAGTAAAATAAAATCAAATAAAATGCAAAAACAAACCTGCCGTGACCAAGAAATTTTAATTAGATAATTTCAATAAATACTTATTGTTGGTTAAATTTTTATCTTTTTGAAAGTTTTATTAAATTACACTAATAACTAAAAAGGTAATTGCCCTTATAACGGTATCAATAGTGTTTTTCGACTAATAAGTATTAGATTAGAATTCGATTATTCGATATGCTCTTATTTTTCAGAACTCGCTGATCAACTGCGTGATGGCAATATACCAGACAACAACAAAGATGTAAAATGTTATATTAATTGTGTGTTGGAAATGATGCAAACGGTAAATATTCCAACAAATGCTAATTAATAAGAAAATTTAAAATTTATTTTACCATCCAAATATAGATGAAAAAGGGAAAATTCCTCTATGAAGCGTCTTTGAAGCAAGTGGACTTAATATTACCCGATAGCTATAAGGACGATTATCGCGCCGGGCTGTTGAAATGCAAGGATGCAAGTGCTCATATAAAGAAAGATAATTGTGAATCGGCTTATACAGTATTGAAATGTTTGCGTGGTGAAATAAAAAAGTTTATATTTCCATAAATAATCCGTAAAATAATTATATTTTATAAAAACATATAAGGATTGGATGTAAAATAAAAAGACATATATAAATTGTAAACATATTCAGCCTTATTTGAAGACATTTACGAGTGACCTCTCAATTTTAAGTGGAAACAAATTTCAATAATGAAATTACAATTCGATATTTGCTTTCAAAAATAAAACAAAATTTGCTAAATTAAAAACGTATTCTCTACCATTGCGCGAAAATGTATAAAATTAAATTAAATGAAATGAATCTTCAATTAGACTGTCAAGTGTTGACAATGAGATGAAATGGGAAAACGAAATTGAATATTATTAAAATTAATAGTATGTCTGAATGTTACGAATGCATGTAAAACATTAACCCTCGCAATTATTTACACGACGACAAGGAAAAACACCACTATAAACTAAACCGTAATTAAAGGGTGAATGGAGTTATTAGTGGTGATATACATACAATAATATGTATATTTTTTTAAATTGCGTGTTACGAGGCGCTTGCGGTCAATACATTTATGATTTAAAACAAAAAAAAATGTCTTAACTAGCTTTTGTATTACTCAAACAAATTTATTAGGTGTAGTAAAATAAATCCATTATTTTTGCATAAAATTGAATGGTTCAATTTTTTCTTTTCGTATCCAGCCTTATTCAAATGGGATCAAAGGGTTTTTGTACAATCTTTAGCTCTTGGCCAATCGAAACAGTGTGCATGACGGTCGCACTCGACAATGGCGAAGGAAAACTGTGAATTATAGCGTATTTTCTATTGCTAGTGTCCATCTTTGACTGAGTCAACCAATCACAAAACTGTCAGAGAAGCCTTTTTACTCCGAAATGTCAACTTTCTAACGCCATATATAATGGACATACTACACTAACACATGCATAAATGTACCTAAATGAAGATACATATTTACATAAGTAGGTTCTATACAATGGTTAAATATTGTATATTAAATACGATTTCTTTGTTGTTTTGTCATTCTTTATTGTACGTACATTTGTAAAAAATTTTCTTTTCCAATCTTCTTCTTCTTCTTTATTGGAGTTGGCACCGCTAACGCGAGTGTAGCCGAATCAACATTCCTCTCTTCTTTTCGCTGTCTGACGCCTGTTGGAAATACCATGTAAAGTCAGGTCACTCTGCACCTGATCCTTCCATTGGAATGTAGGTCTTCCTCTTCCTCTGCTTCCACCATCCAGACCACATGACATAGTCAACGTAGCCGCTGCTTCTTGGTTCTCTGAACTACGTCAATTGCGCCACAGAGCTCGTACAGCTCATCGTTCCATCGTCTGCGGTATTCCAATGAGCAAAGAAAAACTTTTCTCTCGAAGGCTCCCAGGGCCGACTCATCAGATATGGACATCGCAAGTCATGTGACATAACGTGTGATTGAGACAACTATAGGATTTAGTGAGACCAGTATACATTCCATATTTACTGTAAGTACTATGTACAATTTGTCAATTCAAAGAACTCGTATCGGTTGGTAGAGAGATATGTTAGCGTTGCTTTGAAAGAGGTACTCGTATATAGCACCGTGGTTTTACGCGAATGAGTCCGAAAGTAAAGAGTAATCGACTATATGGATGTTTAAAGATGGGCTGAATCCAATAAAAGTTGTTCCCGGGCGAAACACTTGCAAAAATATGGATGTCTGTTTTTTTTCAACTGTACATAACACAACCGTACCACTAGGACAACGCAGAACAGTCAAATCTGAGTGCTACGCAACCATTTGTTTGATAGTTGTCTTTCAAGAAATCAGGAAAACCAACCGCCGAAGTTGGATCATTCACACTCATCTGGAAAAACTGAAAACACTGCTTACCGTATAGTTTTGACTTGGCACCGAACCGACAACAGAAAAGTCGGTTGATGCATTCGGAATGCATGTTTTGGAGATACCTCAATCAGTGTGGCAAAGACACACGTGTTTCGACAAAAAATTTAAACGCATACAAAAGTGTGTAGAAGAAGAATATGTGAATAACAATAAAGCGGCTTCCGATGATTAATGCTAGTTTTGGTTCTTTAATCGCGAAGTATTTATAAAAGGCAACACTTGTGCTTCATTTTGGGATCAAATACTAATTCGCATGTCTGAAAAACCGGTTGAATGATTTTAGGTGATAATGTTTATTTGTATATATGTATATACGAGTATACACGTATGTGCAGAATATAGAATTTCATACCCTCAGTTGTTTTTCTCAAATCTGAAAAAACTGTTGAAAATATGCTATAGCATCTGATCTAGTCGGTTTCGACAAAAGGTCACTGAAATGTACTTTTATGTGCTTCTCTGTATCCAGGTTGGTGGAAATATTTCAAAAGCTAAGAACTGGCAGCGTTTTCCGAAAGAAGAAACGGATGAGATTATGTTAACTAGACCCGGCATTCTAATGCGATCGATTATTGAAATAATGTTTTTAGATCAAGATTAGGTTGCGTAGTGGAATGTTTAGAGGCTTGAGCGCTTGTGCCGAAATTTCAGAGAGAGATTTATTCAGGTTTCAGTTTGGGAAATAAGAATTCGGTAAAAGCAGGAAGAGTAAGTTTAGTATGGACTTTTTTGTAGGGATCCATATGGGAGTGAAAAGTCTTTTTAAATATACTTTAAAATTTCCCCAGTAATAATTAATTAAATAATCTAATTATAAGAATTTTTTCGTATAAATATGAAAATATTGTATAAGCGAAGGTTTATTTAAACAAAAATACCTTATATACTTTGCATACATATTTTTAATCACAATCACTGTTCGACTATTGGTATTTCATATTCACGTGATTGCATTTCTTTCAACATGCACATGCCAAAAGAATGAGCGACTTCGCACCTGTTAAAAAAATAATTAGAAATTGCAGTTCGTACAAGATACTAGAAACTCACATCTCATTGAGGCCCATATCTTTATTCCTTTGATTACAACCATCTACGATTTCATTCAATTCATCCGCTTTCTCCGGATACAACAATGCCATAAAGCCTACTAACTTCTCGCTCTCTACAGCTGTGTCGCCCTCTTTGAACTATGTGTATGACACGCAAGTAATGAAATTAAAAAGATTAAAATATTATATATATATATATGCTAAGCCTTACCAATTCAAACTGTGCCATGAGACAGTGACGAAGGCATTTGGTTGTTTGTTGGGCATCCTCTTTATTCAAGAAAAGCTCCTCCATATGCTCTAAATTTTAACGTGAATACACAAAAAAATCAAATTAACTACATACATGCTATATTATATAAGAAAGTATTTAGTAAAATATTTTCATTTAGTATTTGCACTTTAGTTTAAATTGAATTTGATTTAAAGTTACCTAATTCGGGTTTTGGATCGCAATCCTGCACAAAGGGTTCGACGCCTTCTATCAGCATACCGATTGGTAGCGTCATCATTTCATCCGCCTGCATTATATATATTTAAGATATACATATGTAACTATTTTATAATTCTGAACTCCGCACTACATAATCCTTATTCCTGTTTCAGTTAACATACCAGCACATCACCCATCATCGATATTAAGAATGCCGCCACACATAAGTGAAACATTTTGTTTATAAATTTTCGATATTTCCACGAGTGAAGGCAAACTAAAGTGAATTGAAATGTTCACTGAATATTACCGAGCATTTTATTTAAATTTAAACGTGGAAATATGCATGTAAAGTGTTTATATAAAATATACAGCCGGATATTGCTCTGAACTGAACATATTTAACTGATACGATCTATATACGTACATATGTAAATCAAAGATATAACAAATTAAAAATTATATTAGGTGGAATATTTAGTCACTAAGTTGTTAGTAAACATGCCATATGTGAAGTGAGTTCAGTAGACAGTGCAGACCTAAAATATTAGCACGTCGTGAACACTTTTTTATGCTATAGTTTTTTTGACTCGTAATCATAACGGTCGGTTTGCTCTAAACTGTCTCTGTTATGAGAAATGCCACAATCAGCGGGAATTGTTGTTGTTGTTGTTGCTGTTGTAGCGCTTTACTAACTCTGTCGAGCGGAAGGTAAAGCCAGTCGATGTGCTAGGGGTCATCAAAGGAGGACAGGAAAGTAGATATTTCGATGGGCTCGGAGCAAAAGGAGAGCATATCTTGCTTGCCCTTTAACTGGGAGCACAGATATCTCGCAGAGGCAGCATCAAGGGGTTATACGTTACGGCCCTCAAAATGGTATTTGGACAAGTCTGTAACTTATCGGTATAGCGTAATTTATTTCGCGATTTGCCGTCATAGATATGAATTTGCAATAGTGAATTCTCGCTCACTGGCTTGGGCAGGGAATTATAGTTCACTTCAGTTACAAATGTGGTTCCTAGTCTTGTTACCCTGATTTACTTTCAGTGATCTTATTAGATAAGCTAAGTTATGTCCGAATCTAGGAAGGACTTACCTGATGAAGTTAAAAAATAATTTTTTCTTTGCCGTCTATAAGACTCACTTTTATCACTTTCGTTGCTCGTATCTAATGTAGCGCTGGTGATTCCATTAAAAATCTAGATCCGATATTTTTGGTAGATAGTTTCATATCGTACGATCTATACGATATTTTTGAGCATCTTAATGCATAACTTCTCCTCCAGATCTTGTTCGTCTGAAATTTGACTGGTAAGTTTATCAGTGCGTTCGTCTTGGTTTATTTACTGGCCAATTCGTTCCAATTTCGTTTCATTTTCATTTTTGGGAGTGAAGTGTTCTTCGACTTTCCCTGGGGCAAAATACCTCTGCAAGTAAGTTTCGAATTTACACCTTGGAAAAATTGAATTCAGGAATCGCTCTTTCGTGACATTTAGGAAAAGCAGGATTACGATGGATGAGGAGGTACCAAAAGCTTCCGATTTTTTATACCACCACTAAAGAGCAAAGTGAAGTAGCTGGGAACTTTAGAATATACCAAAGAACAAATTTGTTTAAGCAAACTTTATTAAAAAATTTTAAGTAATAAATAATTCGAGTTCTTGACGTAACTAGTAGTCAATTTGCAAAATAACATACAGATGGTGTGTATGTAAATATGTATATACATGTGTATATATAAATTTGCTACTCAAAGCAGCATAACATTGAGAGCCTCCTAATAAATCAGCTTGATTTTACGCATCTTCATTTCGGTGGCAATGCATTTGTTAATTTGATAAGCGCGTTCACAAGGATCCTCGGCTGTTATGAACTTTTTGCAATTGTCCGCAGATGCCATAGCAATCGATGTGATTAAAGCATTGTTATTGCCAATCTGTAGGATATAAACATTTTGAAAATATGAACGATGAAAAGATCAAATGGTTGTTATACTCACTATATCAGCAATGCGTCCAATAGCCGGCGTCGATAACATATTATCACGATCCATCTATGAGTTGATTATTAATAAAAACCATTATCCCTATTAATATTCTGAGGAAACTCACCACTTCCATACGCTTCAGTATGCACTCCATCATGCATTTCTCTTTCGGCGTGGGCAGCTCCTCGTAGAGCAACGATTTTTCCATTTCATTTGCCTTGAAACCCATTTCACTGGCGCACTGTCCCTTCGAAGTGGTTATAAAAGCTTGGAATTCCTGCATGGGCTGGGACAATTGACGTTTGGTGCGTTTGTAATCTTCGATAATAGTGGCATCTTCGCGTGTAGCCAATGGTTTGCGCTTGCCGGAGAGTTTGTATGAGTTTGCGTTGAGTGCATTGATCTGAAAAATAAAATATGGTTAATATAGAAACGTTTGGAATTCTGTATTAAAAAATATAATTTACACTTTCCACTGCCAACAAGCAAATGAGGCTCGCAAATAACAGTGTTTTATTCGAATACATAATTTCGTTTATTTGGTCGTTATGGTATGCTTAGATTTGTGTCTACTGTGTCGTTCTACCATCAAATTTCGCTTTTATACTCACGCTGAAACGTTTTCTGCAACTCAGTTTTGCAAGCGTTGACAGTTTTCATAGTTGAAGGTTTATCACTTTTTATACTTGCACTTCTTTCACAACTTCAAGTTCATGTTAGTAACATTAATTTTTGCAGGGGCATTTAACATTACATATTTATTATTATTTATGTTCATAGTTTGAATTTTAGGGAAAAGCTTTTAATAGCATCTCGAAAGAGCGAGTTGGAGCAGAAACTTGCGAAGGGAAGTTGTTGAGGGTAACATTCATCGTTGCTCTTGTACTGTAGAATTTCTTCACGTTAAAGAACAACTGCTTATGCTCTAAGGGTTGAATTTTTCATTTTAAATGAAATATAAAAATATTCCCACTTATTTTTGAAATTATAATGAATTAACTTTTTGAATCATTTTTTATAGATCTGGAGCTATTGTGACTTAGAATAAAGATCAAAATACAAGTGGAATCTAAAATCTATTGTGAAATGAGGTATAGTTGCCTTCCCTTATATTCCCTTCAAACGATTGAGGTATCACGCAATTTTCTTTCCTATGATTCGACACAGCATTTGCCGGTATAGTTCATATCGATGTAATCGTAAAGTGATTGTGAAAAAAAAAAAACATTTTGAATGCGAAGGAATATGACACTTGAACGTAACAGTTGGACAGACCTGGTTTGTATGTGTTTTTTTTTTTACTTCTGACTACTTAATTGACTTAATATCATAAATTTAGTCCACAAAATTTAACATAAGAAAAATAACTTTATATAAAAATGTGTTAAGTATGTAACTAAACCCAAATGTGATCCTTAAAAATGGGTGCGACAGAACTATGTTCTTTTTTTGTAAATTTTTTTTATTATATTGAAGCTTAAACTTTCGAGCGCAATCATTTTCTTTCTGCCGATCCAATCGGTGAATAGTACGGTGGTAATAGTTATAAAAGTGTATAGCGAATAGTGCAATGCGACAACTTTTTTTGTTTTTTTTTGTTCGAATAATCGCTGTCTACGGCTTCTTCAGTTTTTGTGAGAACTTTATATGGATGAAGGTTTGAGTCCAAGTGCAAAATATGCCGTTTGAAAGTCCCAGTTCCTTAGAACATCGGTAAATATACACATTCGGGCCATCATTTACAGTAGTAATATTTCAACAACTGGACGATTAAGTGCACCGGAATCTCCTCTTAAAGCACGAAACGTTGCCATGTTTAAGGCAGTAGTCTGCTTTAGAGTCTAAGACTATCCAGGAATATGTCTTCAAAATTTCAGTGACCAATTCGACATATTTTATAAGCTAGAGTAGTTTTAGTGGCCGAGCGTAGAGCAGGTTCGAATGATCAGGCAGAACTCGGAAGCTCGTTTTCTCGAGTTCTTATTTTTAAGAGTCTTAGAAAACTGTGCCGGTGATAGCAAAAAGCAAATATGTGTGTAATATGATGGAAAAAACTTAAAGTGATCTAGCTTCAGCTTAAGTTGCCTTATATTTGAACTAAAAAAGTTGCAGAAAAGTATTATTTCAACCATTTTTTTTCAAGTTGAAGTTTTCCTTTTTTTAGAAAGTGAATTTTTTTAAACTTCGAAGAAATTTGGAAATTTCCAACTACTGCGATATTTTTTCATAGAAATTTAATAAAAAAATTTAATTCGACAATATTAAGTTCAAAGTGCAGATGATTCAGAAAATGTATCACAACATTGAAAAATTCAAATATTTTTAGATAAAAAAAATTGCTTACTGCAATAATTTTCTTTCAAAAAAATTAGTGAAAAACGCCGGTTATAAAGGAAACTGTTGCCTTAAATCACAATTTCATTATAAACTTCATTCTAAATAAAATCAAGCATCTGAGCTTTGTACTTCGATGTATTTGAGGTGCTGTTTTTGAATATTTCATCCTTGTTATCTGCCAAAGTAACCACTGCCCAAAGTTATTAGTGGCGTCATCGTTCGTATCTATGTTGGAGACGTTTGCAGACCAACTTTTAGGTTTTTTAAAATGATGTACGTCTGGGCTCTTGCTCAATTTTCCTAATAAAAATATATATATATTATGCATGTTTAAGGGGTATTTCAATGCAGAGTCAAAATTTTATCAGAATATTATATGTAAATTCCGTCAGTCATTAAAAAAAAATTTTTTTTTCTAAAAATACTCTATGATGAATCTTTTGCTACGAATCTTTGACCTACATAAAGATTCAGTCAGGGAAAATACAAATAAGGTATATTATATCATTATTGAATTACTTATGTACATACATAGATATAAACCAAAAAAAATGTGTAATACTATTAATATAAAAATATGGTGTATCCGGTACTCTCTTTTGCTTATAACGAGTATTTTGGACCCACCCAACCAAGTAATGTTTACTAGAAGCCTAAGCCTAAGGTTCTATGAATGATTTCGTAGTAAAATTTAAAATTATAGAAAAATAGGTTTCTCTTTAAAGAACACGGTTACTTTTACATTTATTAAATTAATATTATTAAGCTCTCTTCTTCATACTCCTTTGGCTATTTAAATTTACGAATAAATCTATAAATGTTACGATATTCTTTGTATATTTTAATTTTTTGTTTGTTTCTTTAGATTTGATCAGCTTGCATATAACTTAAAGCGAGCTTCTGGCACACCCTGTATTAAGCACATTTCTTTTTTCTCAAAAAGCTTTTGGCGGTTCACAGCTAAGATACAACTACTTCAGTTAATCAATATGGTTTATGTTATAGGTAATTTAAAAAAGAATATATTAAAACATATGTACATTTATCTACCGTTAGTTTGTTAGAGTTTAATTAGTTGTCAACTTAAATATTTCCAAAAAATAAACATGTAACGAAAAATAAAATAAAATAAAATAAAAATGAAGAAATTAAAGAAAATTATTACAATGTTATTCACAAAATTAATTTAAAACTTTAGACTTTAAAAAAAAAAACCACGAAAATGATAAGTATTTCTGAGCTACAGAGAATCTTAGAACACAAGAAATGTTCTTACTCTATTCAAGTTATATTTCTAGTTTGTGGCGAAAAGTACTTATATACGAAAATGCCTCATTCGACGATTGTTTTCATTTTGAAATACTTAAAACTGAGTTTTTCGTTAACTCGCTGTTACAGAGCAAAGTAGGAAGCCTGACATTAATAACTCGCAATATAAATTAACAGTATCTAAAAGCTCTCAGGTAGCACCATATTGGGATATGATCTTGAGTATTTTTAACCTCTACGGAATTTCAACAACACACGTATTTTTTGCTATTTTATTTATTTGTTAATATAAGTTCATTACAATCTACGCGCTCCTGGGTTGCCTGGAGCACCTGGACCACCAGGAGGAGCACCAGGTGCACCCGGATTACCACCGCCTTGTCGTTGAGCCACCGCAAAACCTATTCAAGATAATACGATAAACAGTATAATATGTAGATGTAGATGAATATTTTGTTTTTGTTTTAACTTACCACTCAACAAAGCGATAGCCGCCAATAAAAGCATTACGAAGTGTAAAATCGATTGCATTGTAGGCAGTTTTGTTATGACACACAACTCAGTAACGAAGTATTGAATGACAATTTTTGCTTACGAGTACGCCTTTTATAGTTGGGTTTCTCGGCTGCAGTACTTTACGGTGAGTTTAATCACTGGCTGATTATATTTGCATATGTATGTATACAACAAATGCAAATATGAATGAACATATTATATATAATTACATATTCAATACAATCAAAAATACATACATGTAATACATACACATCTTTTTAAATGTATTTATTGTAAAATTTGGTGTATACTCGTATATGTAAGTATAAATGCTGGTTTCTTGGCTTATCTTATTTTCGTCATAATAGAAAAATCATTAAAAAATGAGAGATATCCATAAGTTTTGGAAATGGCACAGTTGCAAGCTAAAAACAAATATGTGGTTTAGAATATATCGAAATCGTGCCCATGACCCCATTGTTTTTGAAAATATTTCCCTTGGTTCAGAAACTTTTTTGTATTATAAACTTATGCAAAACGTTCGGTTCGTGGCTTGGAGAGTAGAGAATAAATTTCTTGCCGACCATAATGCCTTGAACTTTCTTGGAGGTGATACCATACCAGTCACCTTAGTATCTACTACATTTTAGTTCCATCACCCTGTTATCGTGGTGCCGTCTGAATGACTAAAAAATAAGTTCGTTTGGTATCCAACATGGCCACGATGTGAAAAAAAGTCCCGATGAATAAAGTTGGGATCTGCTTTAAAAAATGCATCACCAGCCTTGCTAAAATTACTTAAGCGATGCCTACTCCAACTATACAATACATTACTACTATAATGATTTTTGGCGCAGTTATAGGGATGAAAAAGATTAAAAGTCTATTTAAAAATCCGCTGTTACTGCCACGCGCAAAAGTTTTTTTTAAAAACTAGTTGAGTTAGCTTCCGCTAAAATAATTAAAATCGTAGCTTTTATAACACACTTCAAATGGTTTGCTATTTATAGAAGATAAGAAGAGTGATATTGCAATGGCTCTATAGAACTAATTGCGTTGACCATTAACCAACAGCCACAACAACTGAGGTCTCTGGTTTGCTTTAGCCGATTCCACCTATAGATAGCTCAATGCCAGTAAAGTTTTGGCCTGTCTGCATTTGCCGCAAAGAACATAAACTATGCATCTAGGATTCACTGTTTTATACAACATTTGAAGCGGCTGAAAGATCTGATACTGATGGTCACTGATTTTCCTTTCTTCCTCTGAATGTCCTACATTCGAAGTTTGAATTTGCTTACAAAAATCCTCTCTAGTTTTCGTCGCTATTACGAAAGTCCTGCCTTCCGCCTATTTTTCCCTGCTCGGAATGGTGTACAGTGGCTTACAGAGGAAGAGGGATTTCTTTATTGGGTCGCATTGATTGTTTAGCTCGAATTATGTTATGATGTCATGAACGCGCTTGTTCAAGTTATTTGCATCTTTACTATGGAAATTAGAAGAAATGTTTACACTTTTTAGCACAACTCAAATAGTTTATTTCAGAAAACACCGTACAAAGAATAGAGTTCGAAAAAAATTCAAAAATTCCATGGTCTATTTTGGAGACAAATTGAATATGAGCGCAATTAGGCAACAGTTACGCCTTTCTCTCATATATATAACCCACACCTCGCTCAACCCAAGAATAAATCATCATTATTTTTTTAAGAATTGGAAATTAGTTGAATGAAGCAAGTTCTAAGGTGAGCAGGTGCAGCAAATATCTACGTGAGAATCAGTGTTCTTTTAGATTTAGAGTTTTTGTGTTGTTTTGAACAACAAAAAGGTATATATTTGTTATTAAAACACTTTGAGCCACACGAAATTTCAGTTATGAGATAGCAGAACTTTTAAAACTGACCCCAATTTTAAAATTTCCATACAGCGAATTTGTTACTGATCTTACGGCAGTTAGTTGCTTGTATTATTTTTGTTGGACTGTTGCTAACTTCTACATTGGTTTTGGCTTATTAAAGTAAAAATTAAAATAATATCATATCACTTGGCACACTTTATCGTATGTTCGAATATGTCCTAGGCATATTTTTGACATTTTCGAAACCATAAATATTTAATTTTGTTTTAATTTACTTTGCCACTTTATTACGATTATTTTGTAAAAATGATAAGCCAACGTTAATATCACGACCACCTATTTTAAGAACAAAAAATGTTATGAGAAAATGCCTTAAGTGAAACTAACCTAAAACTATGTAAACAAACATAACATACAGTGTTATCCATTTTGCTTTTTCGAAAATAAACTTAAATAAAATGATTTTTCATTAAATTCCTTTTATATAATAATATTTTCGAACACCCTTTGTCACGTATAAGCGGTAACTCAGCCATAACTTTATGAATGTTGGTTTTCAAGTGTTCAAGAGTTACATCCTCAAAAAATCCAACGGTGTCAAATCGCTCAATCTCGGTGGCCAATTGACATCGCCAAAACGAGAGACTACACGGTCGGGAAATTTCATCGAAATAAAGCCGTATTCGCTCTCGTATTGTTGAAACCACACATTGTTCAAGTCGAGTTCTTTAATAGAAGCACAAAAAAGTCGGTTGTGGCACGATCATAACGTTCCGAATTGACAGTGACAGTCGCGCTGTTGTCATTTTCCAAAAAACAATGCCATAATTTTGCTTATTTACGTTTCACCCAGAGCGAAAGATAATTTCTTCTCTTAAAGCACGAATCATGGTCACGTTTGGATCACTATTTTCGCAATAGGTTTTAACAATTTTAATGCGATGTGCGGTTGTTAAACCACAAAATGGGTAACCCTTTATGTATTTATAAGCATGAGATCTGGGACTTTACCGGCATATAATTTCACTGAATACAAAGAAAATAGATTTACTTTACGCAAGTATAAATCGGCTACACATGACTGAAATATGCAATTTAATACTCTCGTTCATATACACTGAACGAAATATTGTAAGAAGAGGTTCTTCTAAAACATTGATGACTCAAACATTTTTTTTTGTGCAATAAAAACTATTTTCAGGTACAAAGAAATCGTCCATTACTCGATATTGCAATCTTGTCTAGGAAGGTTCCAATGAGGACTAAAAAAATTACTGCTGTTGCCGTTGTTGTAACCGCAAAATTATTCTCCATAGTATTTTTGGGGGAATGCTGCGGGAGTGACAGTCCTTGGCCGGGTAAAAATCCTGGTCGTTCCGGTATAAAGACCCGACTGTCGAGGAAACTATTGGATCTTAGTCGCCTCTTACGACAGGCATGCCTTATCTCGGGTAAATTCCTGAACATCTAACCCGCAGGGGGATGAAAAAATTACTAATCTCAATTTATTTCGTTCATTTTCTTATAGTGTAATAATTGTGTTTTTAGAACATATAAATACGTGGGCTTTCTACAATATTTAGATCAATATTGTTCTTTTCATTAATAACATGCGATTCCCGATAACCTTCGCTCTATTATTGATTATATTGGGGGTTGTCATTGGTAAGTACACGCCATCATACATATATACTTACATACTTAACTAAGTTTACAAATAATGTTTTATCCTTAGCACATCCAAATCTTGAAGCGCATAGGAACCGTTGTTGTGGTCCTTGGACAGGAGGTGGTGGCGGAGGCGGAGGTGGTGGTTGGGGAGGAGGTGGTGGCGGCGGAGGTGGTGGAAAGTAAGCAAGATACTTGTATCTCGTATGCTACTGGAGAATTGTAATTGGAATTTTTATTGATTGATTGCATGAAAAAGATCATGTAAATAACATACTTGTGTATCCATATACATATACATATATAATGGATTCGTAAACTGATGAAACAATTTTAATTTTTCTAAATTAGTATTTTCTTTTACAATATTTCAATTTAAAGCGCATAGTAATATGTATTTCTGTTTATATGTTTGTAAATAAGTTAATAAATGCCTTCTACGTTTTACCCTTTTAATTTTGTGTTTGTTCTCTTTGTATATGTTTATCTTCACGAGCTTTAAAAGCGTTAAAGAGTAGGTGTTTGAGCTAAACGTTCTAAACGTAGATGACAGTGACATAATATTCATAGCCTACGATGAAGTGAAAATATATAACAAAAACACGAACATATTAGCTGTAAAGAAATTAAGAGAGTGAGATTTTTTACCCTCCCAAAGAAAAAAATTTACCGAGTTTTCATCGAAGAGGATTCAGTGAAAACTAACCAGCAAGTTGTATAGCAGCAGTTTATTTTAGCAGTTTAAAATCAATGAACCCGTTCATTTATTTAGTTAGTTTAGTTTTTTAAGTTCTTCCATTTATTTTAATAAAATGTACAATTATATATTATAGCATTTTTTAATTTAGTTATTGTATTCAGAATTTATTGTATTTAAGAAACGAGGAAATTCTACATGCTCTGTAGCCGTCCAACGAGAGTAATTATAAGGAATCCAAACTCAATTTGCGTTGTTCAAATAATGATAATACATTCTAATTCTATGCCTTCAACATTCCGAATTTCTAATTCATCACGTGAGCTCGTTAGCTTGTGGGGGATTATTCCACTCCACTGAGTATCTTACTATTTAATTGAATCGCTGATACCATGAAATTTACTTCAGCAAAATTATATTAATTTGGGCCCTTATATTGCTAGTATATCATACATAAAGTGTTAATATTATTTTCATTTTAAATAAATTTTGTATTATTGACAAAAATTCAATCATATGATCACAAATCAGCTGTTTTCCATGCGAGCCAGCTTTTACTGGCAGAAATTTTCCCAGCATTTGTCCAAACCAAACGTCGAAATCGCGTTCTCTAGTTACTAATTTTACTGAGTTTGAGTGCTCAGCTAGTCATCTAACAAAGCATAAACATTTACATGTAGAGGACGATTTTTTAGACATGTAGTTTTTTAGAAGTAATAAAACGTAAGTAATTTAGTGTTATGGGGTCGCATATCAGTACTACCGCACCGAATATTTTTTGCAAGGCGTCAATCATCTCAAACTTCACAATCACCACAAAAAAGAGTCCAGCGGTCTTAACTCGTACGATCTTGGAGGCCCCACCACAGGCCCGAGATGGAAGATAATGGGCTTGCCACTAGTTTACTTCAATAAATTGTTTGTTCCATTGGCTGTTCGGAGATTGAAAAATCCAATATTTCGTAAGCACTAGCGCTTATTTTTTCGAATGAGTCTTTGAAAAAATCTCTTTACAAATTGAGACATTTAATTTATCTGTTTTAACTTGCTAAAAATGAGTGGCTTTACACAAATTAAAAGCAAAGAGCAAACCAAAAATAATTACATTTTCAGCAATTCTCTCGCTCGTCGCTACAAACCAAAATATTCTTCGACTAATAATTTGAAAATATTTAAAGGGTTGCATAATTTCTAATATGAGAACCAAAAACTTAAAAAGTCTGTAAATCACTGGTCTGAATGATAAATTTTAATACCAAAGTAAATTTTACTACCCCCCGATAGAATAGGCCTGTAAATAGCAAAGAGATTTACTAATCATTAACCTTCTTTTTTAACTTGAAGTGAAAATACGTTTTTCACAGAAATGATTGATAAATTGTACTTTACTTTTATAGTATTGATAAATATTTGCTTACCAACATTTTGCCAATGTTTTCTTATCGATTATTATGTGTATGTATGTATATACATTTTTCTAGATAAATACAATTTTATGGAGAATGATTAGGTAGCTTTAATCGCAATGCTTGTCTCAGGCATTATTGGTTCATAACTTGTAATAATTATTACAAATTTGCTGTTTTCTTGTAATTCGTCATATAATATCACCGAATTGTATTGTTTTTATATTTACAGTTGTTATATAAATAAAACACTCATATGCTACAGTGTAATTATTCGAATTTTATTTTCACAAAGTTTTAGTTTCTTAAATTAAAACCGCCACCGCCGCCTCCTCCACCTCCGCTGCTTCCACCTCCACCACCGCCGCCACCACTTCGACCGCCTCTGCCACCTTAAAAATTAAATACAAAAAGAAATACAATATTAAATTTATAAGAATATCGCGATTCCTCTTCTCAGTCGGTGCCGGCACACAGTTCACTTACCCAAAGCCAGTGCAATTATGAAAAGTATTGAAATAAAAGTAGCGGAGCACTTCATTTTGTTCAGTCGGAAATGATCAGTGAGTGGCCAGTGAGTTCTCGATCTTATTTATATCAAATAATATAATACCATGATGGAGTGCTTTCATTTTCGCAAGATTATTGATCTTTTGTGTTAAAATTCAAAAGAATATTAAAATTTTATTGTAAAGTTAATTTCCGAAAAGGGAGCACTTGTTTAAATACTAAAAACAGCTATTTTACAACAAAAGCTTACTAAGTGAATTACCTTGATTATTGATTATTAAAGAAAAGTAAGTTTAAAGCTCAAAAACAAATTGGAAATATTGAAACATTAAGAAAAAAGGGGAAGAAATGCTGTCTTTGTCAATATTTATCTGAATTTACCTATGTTTGCGTTGAAGAATAACAAGCCAGATTTTACGGTCTAAAATACAAAATAATTTAGACCGAAAACTTCATATCTGAATAAATGGTTTGTATGGATAGGAGCTATATACTGACTTCTAGGTAATAACACTAGGTACTAGTTTACGACCAAACAGAGGGATTTAACCAATGGGTATAAATATTAGTAGGTATCTCTCTTTTACTACATGCATACCATTTCATTATTCCAAAAGGTATTAAAAAGATTATCCTCACTTGTATTTATTATGCTTTAGATCCACATGTTTTGCTCGCATTATTGGTACTTCCTTTAGACAATACGGATAGACAGCTTTCTTATAGTTATCTTAGTTAGTCAGTTGTGGAGATCACTTGACATTATCTGGCCATACCAATGGTGGACCTATGAAATCTGTTCCTCTCACTTCCTAGTTGCATTTTATTGAGTTATACACGGCTCGGCAGTGGCAGATTCCTCTTCATTTATGACCCTAGCGTTGTGACAGAAATTATAAAAAGAATAGCCCATCTTTCCGTGAGTCGCCAACAGAGTGTGCGCCTATTTCCCCAGTGGTGATGTTGTGGAAATTTTATTCTCTCCGCCTGTGGTTAATCTCTGCTATTTGAGACTATCTTTGTGGTTATTATGATGATGATCATTACGCCGAGTGCCGAATTTACCGTAGTTACAACGGTTTCATTTTAATTAGCTCATCGACGTCACATTTCCCTGATAAATCGCTTTATCCATGAATCCAAAGCACGGAAGATTCGCATATAGTCGATTAATTCTTTTAATTCAGTTCAGCTTGAAAGATTTTGCAGTGTTAGTGAATATATTATTTGTATCATTTGCGAGTGGTACTGAGAAGACTCCAACTGACATCGACATTTGAATGGATCTTTGATCAAAGCCTGTTGGGGGTCCTGGTAAAAATGAATTGTCAAAACAGAGGCCTGAGATGGTCTAGTCCATCTCTTCCGAGAACGATGTAGAGTTTAGTATTTGAATGTGCCTTTTACGGTTTGTTAAGGGTTGAGTAACGTTTACCCTTACGGCGTTACAGTTCGATATTCACCAGGCGGGTCTAACGGATGGAGGCCGTCCGCTGAATTTACCTAGTGCTGGTCACCAGACTGCGACTACGCGAACAATATTGGCAAAGTGATGTCGATGTCTTTGATAACGTATATTTCTGGATTTTTCCACAATAACAAAATGAATCTTAAAATCCTTATAGTATTTTCGAATTTTTTTTTATAAATATTGAAAATCATTGTTTACTTAAAAACATGGATCATGACTTTGGAAAAAATGGAACTTAAGTAAGACTACATACTTGTACATATACATTGTACATACAATCACATCCTAAGCCAAGTAAAATTTTCTTCGGTCTTTGTAATTCTAAAAAAAATAACAACGAAATGCCCACACAGGTATTAATATTTATGTGCATACGAGTACATCTATTTACGTATGGATTCGTAATTTCCTAATAAAATTTTATGATACTTGACCAATTGGCTCTCCATTGCCTTTGGACAAACATACTTACACATTTATCGTTACACAAAACTCTTTGTTTTTGAAATTGATAACAAATAAACAGAGGCGTAAGTGAATCCGTGTTTTTGTATAAATATGTCTGCATCGTACTTTGTTGTTCATTGAGGAGTTGAGACTTCACGCCTGCAACATGAAGTTCTACGCAATCCTTGTTTTTGTGCTTGCTATGTTCGCTATGGCTTTTGGTGAGTATATTTAGTTGTGATTTCTAGAATTAATGATCTATTGCTAAATGTTCAATATATTTACTCACAGCTCATCCGAATCCTGAGCCACGTCCCATACCAGAGCCATATCCTGGCGGTGGCGGTGGCGGCGGCGGAGGTGGAGGCGGAGGAGGAGGTGGTGGTGGTGGTGGCGGAGGGGGCAAATAGTGAACTGCGAAAATTGATAAAATGACCTTTCTGCTTGCAAATATATTTGGAGGAAGTTAATTGTATTATTATACTATATAATAAAAATTAATAATAAAACATATTTATATATATACATACACACAAAAAATAAATTTTTTTTAAATTATTTCATGTCTCAAATACTCAGCGAAAAAGTGCTCCTGGCAACAGCGCTTAATCTAAATTAAAAGTCATCACAGCTAAAACCGACAAATATTTTGGCGCTTCCCACCGACCGAGAGGCGCGGTCCAACGGACCGGTGACCGAAAACCAGTTACAGTCCGGACTGTCTTCAACCCGAGACCTATCGCGGAAGGTCCTGGTTGCACTTGTCTCTTGCACTTACCAACTGCAGAATTTCTTATCAGCTGCAATAAATTATATGGAAAATGCGAAGGAAATTACTTAACTGCTCAGATCTCTCAGTAAGTAGGTTTGGATACAGAAAAGAGAGTCAGAGGACTCAATTCTGGCACAATGTATTAAAATCGTTGCACAAACATCAAAAAGAGTTGTGAATTTCAAAGTTTATTCTCGCCAAATACTTTGCTCACATCGGTGTAAAGAGCATCATTAATGACATGGATGGTGAGTTCTAGTAAGTTCGATAGATGTATGAATGAGTCAAAAGATCTGATATAATAGCTTTGAAAATTTCGAGGATATAACATAACTCGGCGGCCGAGGTAGCCGAGTGGTTAGCATTGCGTACTGCCATTCGAAAGGCTCGTTAGCTCGACCCGTGCGACCAGCATCCAAAAGTTATAGAAAACTAATTGAAATAAAAAATTAGGCTAAATTTTCGTCGCCCCTCGGCAGGGAATGTCAACACCTCCGAGTGTATTTCTGACATGAAATAAAGCTCCTCATAACAAACCATCAGCCGTTCGGAGGCGCCATAGGACTTGACTAAAGTAGTCTCTTTGTTTTTCAATCTTATCAACTTTTAATTAATCATAAACATTTTGGACAGGGGCAGGTTGATTTGTTATAGGAACAAACTTTTAAAAAGCATAATGTTAAACAATTATGAAATAAAAATGCTTTTCTCCGCATTCCCATTAAGCATTGGAAATTGCAGACAGCACATTTGAAAGTTTAATTTAATATAGTTTGCCCATTTATATGGAAACGAGTATTGTTCGATTTTGAAGGAACAACTAAAAAAATTTTGGAGAGGGAAAGTAACCATCTTCGGGCTGAAGTAAAGAATCACAGCGATTTATAAAAAGCAAGGAAATGATATCTATAAATATTAAATCCAAATCTTCCCAAACTTATGATTACTGAATCTCATTTAGGTAGTCATGAACATTATCTTCAGTTAAACTTGGTACCAGAAACAGTCATTCATATTTCAGGGAACAGGATAAATTGAAGTCTTTTATATTGACGAATAAAGAGAATAAGTGGAAAAGCCTGAACTTGGCGAGATGTAACTGCAACAATATAGATATTCTTCTTAATTAGACGCAAAGCTTCTAAGTTGCTCCATAAGATTTCAGAGTCGACCAAGCACCTCCTCCTATTTGTGGTGTGCGTTTTGATAGTTTGCCTACAAATGGAGGGATCTACAGTTTTAACAAACTGCTTTCATTGCAAATAACAAAAAATTTATCATTCTTGATGTACGGAATACATTTTTTAAAAACTGATTAATGTGAAACAAACTGGTTACTTCATACACTGCTTTATGTGCGCCTTGTTTGAAGAAAATTCCAATTCTCTTCGCAAATGATGTTTTGGTCCTTTATCCATTACTGATTAAATGTCCTAAAGCCTTTCTTTGCTCTCTAGATTAGCCGCCGTTCTGAATGCTTTGGTCGTATTTTCGAAATCCCAGCATTGATTCTGTAAACCTTTCAAAAAAAAAAAAAAAAAAACCAAATACATAAAAGAAGAGCTGAAGTCCTTATACCTTAATGAACAATTAAATTTATTAAATAATATTAAAAGTTAATTTTGATATCTGATTGGGTGCTTAATATAATGAAGTTTTCGATGATTTTCTTTGCCAATGTTTATTTGTAGTACATACATATATGTATGCGAGCATATGTAGAATATCAAATTTCACGCTTTCTTATTTTTTTGATCGATTTTGGACCAAATACTGAACAAACCTGAAAGAATCGATTTTATAACGGCTTTGTATAACATACTCTTCAAATTCCGATAATTTTCGGTGACAATGTTTATTTGTAGATATGAATATATACCAAGTTTCATACTCTACTTTTGACGGAGTTAAGGTCTCTTACCTAGAAACATTCTTGTATGAGAGCTAAGTTTAAGAGAAGCTTATTTGAAATATATCTAAAATTGAGCAAGACATGAAAGCACTCGGCTCAATCAAGTCTGACCTGATCAATATAAATTTTGATAGGTATATCATATCTTTTCCTCCTGATACTTCGGACCAATGTTAATATACCATTTGTACATGAAATGTATACAAATTTGAAATATGGATCGAATTGTTTTAATTAATTTTTTAACAAAAAGCTTTTTGTTGAAATTTTTGAAAACTGCTAAAGCAAATATGTATTCCAATGCGTTATCCTTCTAAGGACACCATCATTGATCAATAATTGGGCATTTTATGAATAAGAATTCTCTTATATACATAATATTTAATTCCACCTGAACGGCTCATATGCTCAAGAGAACTCATGTTTATTAGGTTTGTTATTCAATAGAGTTGTCACCTGCTTTGAAATTTTGTATAAAGAGTGATTTTTTAAGAACCATAAGAAAGTTTTTCAAATAATAAAAACCCATAAAATTCAGAAAAATGGATGAAATCTTTGTTTGAATCCATAGCACGGTCCATATAATTTAATGTTTGAAGATAAATATGCAAATGTTGACCCTGAACGTGAAATAAAATGTTCACCGAACCCGTCTCTCAAAAAGTCCATTGTGGCATTTGGCACCACCTTGTTGAAACCACATGTCATGCAAGTCAAGCTCCTGCAATTTGGGCAATTGTGTTCAAGTATGCCCAAAAATAATTTAGATTTACATTCACAGAGCTATCACAAGTTCTGAAATTTTGACTTGGAAAAAATGATAAGTTAAATATTAATGTAATATTGCAATAGGGGTATCAAACTGAATATATTAAAGAAAGACTTAGTGAAAAAAAATGTTTGACCAGAGTTACCACCTTGTTATCTTCTTTCATTTAGCAGAATTGATTAAGAAAATTTTAGAGATGTACAGTGGAAAATTGGTAAGATATTAAATAATAAAATATGTTCAACAAATTGAAGACATTTAAGCAGGTCTTATAGCGAACAATATGGGTATCAAAATTAAGAAGTTTCCAATAGATTTTGAAGAGCATTGCAATCTGTTTGAAAGTCTATTTGATTATTCTTTCATCATGTTTTAAAAATTAAATTTGCTAACAAATGGAAAGGACTAATATGGATGCCAAAACTTTGGCAGAAATGTTCAACCATTCGAGAAATTTTTAATACAAATGATTGAATTGATAACATTAAAAATTATAGGTTTTTTAGTTATATTTTTTGCATATTTGATTTGGTGTAGCGAAACACACTTGGACACCGCTATTAGTTATAATAATCATTTTGGGATAGGCAGGCTGCAGTAAGAGGCTTGGAATCTGCATCAATACATTAGATAACTGCCGCAGATCACTTTACGTGATGGCTAAGCAGTTCGCTTTGAAATTAGTATGGTTGCCATAGTTTTTCATAAATAAATTCATATTGTAAAAAGAGGAATGGCCATCCCAAACCACCTACAAGTTTTCAATATATAATTCACCACCGAACTCCTTTAAGAGCCAAAAGCTCGATGAATACATTTATGGCTATCAATATTTTCCCTACTCCTAAAAATCCCCTCTCTCTCCTACTCTCAGTAGGAGTAATGGTATGGCGGACGAACTCTTATTTAAAGCACTTCTTTCCCACTTTCGTCATTATGGCAGGCTCTTAGAGAGATTGAGCGTATCATCAAATGACTTATGCAGAAGTTGTAGAAGAAGTAGGAAGAACTTAAAAAGTGCAAGATTTGTTAGTTTTGGAAACTCCATACATTAGACCGAAAATTTCACATTTCCCACAATTGGAATGACCTACAGTTTTAAACCGAACGGTTGATGGATCTTGTTCTACGTAAAGGTTATATTTTCATATCAGAAATATATTTGAAGAGGTTGAAAGTACCTTCCCGCATATAGAAAAAGTTTATTCTATGAACTTGGTTTGAATGTTTTACAACACACTCGACTACAGCAGCGCCACGGTTTTGGTGAAATCTATTTTACAACAAATTTACATATTTAAATCTGTAAAGGTATAAACATTTTACATGGTGAATGATTCCACGAAAATCCGTGTAAAAAAATCGTTTAAAAAAAGCCATCGATCATATGCAAATTAGGTGATTGGTTCCTAATCTATAAAACCTTTAGAAATGAGTGAAAAACAATGATTTTTTAAGAACAACTTTTCAGGTGTCTTTTTATTAAATCACATACTTGCATACAGTGGCTCACAGGAAAATAAGCCAGCTGTTCAATCTCCCAAGCAAATTCTTGTAGTCTCATTGAGCTTATCCCCCACGTGTTAGCGAACTATTTGCAGAACCCCTGCTGTAGATCCGGTCAGTGCTAGAAATAGGGAAGCAGTTCTCTCTTCCATACTCCAACTGTACACTGAAGCCATCTTTCGAATCGAACTTCGTGCTTCGCTTATTTTGTCGCCATCCTGTGTCTTTATCTCTTGAAGTGTGTATCTCCTCGCAGCCGAGATTGTAGCTGCATCTTATTTCCGGTCGTAGATAATCCTCGCTTCTCTAATTCTTCTTTTATGAATTGCTCGTAAAATCCTGTAACTTAACGATTTTCTCTTTTAATCCTTTGTTCTATTCAACATTACTAAATATTCCAGCAGTCTGTGCTTCGTCTTATATAACTACAGATTGCCGATATATATATATATAAGATTCTGTTTGAATGGTTGTTCAGTAATCGGCTTCTCCTTCCTACCGCACATTCGAATTGGGGAAATTCGCCCCAAAATGGATTATTGTATATACATACA